AAAAATGCCTTCTGGACCAAGTGAGTTCACCCAAGTTGAAGTGCTGCTTCTCCTTTTAGCCAGTGCTATGATTTATGTGAGGAGTGTTAAAAAAAAAAAAAAGTCTTATAAAGGTGAATGTTTCTTCTATACTTAGCATCAATAGCGGGCAGGCTTTGTCCTTATTTGTCCTTCGTACATAAATTGCTTCATGGATAGTAAGTTTGTTTTCCTAACTAAATAGCAATTTCAGAAATGATTGCTATAGAAGTCATGAAAATAATATCTACCTAAGTGTCATCATCTCCAACAGCACGAGAGCGAGTCAGAGCAGAGCAATAATAAATATTAATTGGGTTTTGATTGTGTTGAGCCCCTGACAATGATCATGTATGAAGTAAGCCTTAAGAGTCTTCCTATTTTTATAGGAGACTGCGGCTGATAAATATTTATAAGCTCAAGAAGTCACATGGCAGAGATGGGGTAAGCATTTTTAATTCAGTCTTCAATCAGAAACCACGCTCCTAAGCACCACCCAGCAGTAGAGTACTATCTGTGTGTCTCTCGGTATCTGTGTCTCTCTGTCTCTGTCTGTCTCTCTGTCTTTCACCTCCCTCCCCTTCTCTCCATAAATCTTCATCTGTGCCAGGCACTGCTGTAGGCACTAATATACATTTATGAAGAAAAGAGGAAACAACATCAGCACTCGTGAGACTCACACTCTATGCAATAAACAGGCAGTCGATAAAGTATGCCGACTAACAGGTGAAGGGTTGTTGAGTCAAGAGGGGAAAGTCTAGGGGCGTAGAGAAGAGAAAGTTAAAAAAAAATAAGAGTGATCTGAAAGGTGTCTGTGAGGAAAGACCATAGGAAGATGGGGGGAGGGGGATAACTGGGGAAGCAGCAGGCCAAGCAGAGAGGGAAGGAGAGGGAGAAGCTGCCGAGGTCACTGGAGGTCCAGCAGCCATAGGACAAAACCTGCCCTGCTGCTGCAATGGGAGTGGACTGTAGGAAGGAAGGAAGAGTGCAGACAGGAAGACACGTAAAGAGGAGCTTACAATGAGGGGTCCTGGGTTGGTCCAGGGAAGTAGCAGTGGATGGTGACAAGAGTGAGACCCTAGACTTATTACAAAGAGCAGGCACACACGGCCTCCTGACCTCGACTATACACCTCTCCCCCCCTCCCCCTTCTCTCTTTCTCATAAACAAGTAGAGAAGAGACAATCAAAGGTTTAGAAGCAGGTTGCGACCTCTGTGAGAAATCCACACGGAAATGTGGGGTCGATGGGATTTTAAATGGATTTCCAGTGATCTAAGTTGATCGTTCTTGGCAGATAGGTTCAGAGCATGGCTACTGAAAGGCAAAAAAAAAATGAAGAATTATATACTCAAAAGGAAAACCAATCTGAGACATTAAGCAGCAAGGCTTGTACTGTGGACCGCCCTGAGCAATGGCTGACTGGAAAATCTTCTCCTATGCAAGAAATGAAAGTGAAGGATGAAGACTGTTCATACCATCTCTCTAAATATCACACTCGGCAGGCTAATGACCTGCAAATCATCTATCTATCACCACTCATCTATGAAGAAATTTCAGTGTCTTTGGAAATTGGATAATTATACATAGCAGCTTCCCTCCATCTCCATCCACCCCCTGAATAGTAACATCAACGTTCCCAAACAAATATTGTACCCAAGGCACAGCGGGAGATCTCCATGCATCAAGGCAGATTAAGCTGGAAAAGGCAGAGCTTCAGATACTCAGAATTAAATGAGCTGAATTTCATTAAGCTTTAGGATGTTTCCAGAAAAAAATATATATGTATATATATAATATTACATACTATATAAAGAGATAGTGATGAATGGATAATATATAATATGATATATATGATATATAATATACCAAACATATATATAAATCATATATATGATTGCTTATCACAAAGTTGGGGTCCCACCTAAAGGTGCACATTTATCCACAGCTCGTTTGATTGGAGATGATCTCAGAATACTTCCTGTGACTTTAAAAAGCTACATCATTATATAAAACATAAGTATATGTATCTTCTGTAAGCACTGCATCCAGAGAGGTATGGAAAGCCAGAACTCTATAAACATCTGTGCTCTCTTCAGAGGTGTTCACTATAAAGAAATGAAATGAGAGACGTTTTTACCTCGATGAAAACATTACACGGTGTATATACACGTATTATAACACAGTACTCCATAGATAGGGGCAACTGTGTGTTTTATGTACTCACTGAAATAAATTTAAATAATTATAAAATAGCATGCCTTAGACAGAAAGATAGAGATCCATAGCCTTTATAACTTTCCCCAAGTGCTAACTCATCTTTAATTACACAGAAGAAAATACAAGCAGAATCAATGTTGTATTCTTCCATTTCATGTTCACCGGTATTCATTATCTTATTGAATGCTCCCTTCAACTAAACACTGTATAGACCAGCAAACTGAGGTCAATAAAGGTTAAGGGTTAGGGTTAAGGGTTAGGACTAAGGAGTAATGCAAGCAAGCAGAACTTGTCTTCATCTCTTTTTTCCCCCTAACCTGAGATAGCATTCCTTCACAGGACAGCTGCTTACCACAAAATGCTGTTTTCTTGTTTAATTATAAACCCTCTCCTACATAGTTATAACCCACAGATGGTTGTCTGGATTCCATTAATGAAACCACTCTCACATTAGTTCCTAAAAAGGGTGACGAAAGGCAAGGCCAGACATTCACTGTATGGTTCTTCACACATACCAACATGCACTTATTGTGCATCTACTCTGCGCCAGGCATTCAGCCCTTCCTTTCCATGAGATTTACACAAGTGCCCAGAATATGCCTGGTGCATGCTGTTCTGGGCTATGTCAGCCTAGAGCAACACCACCTACGTTCTTAACAGAGTACCTTGCACTAGTACTTCCAGCTCCACCAAAACTTCTGGCTGGTATTGCATTCCCACACCTCTGTGGTTGTCTTCTGTGTAAAATCACACCACAAGAACATTTAAAATATCAACAACTGATAAACATCAATGCTAGCAAATAGACCAGCTTCATCTGATCACTTTTCTGAAACCTTTTCTTTCTATGAGCAATAACTTTCTATGAGCATAACTTCATCCTTCTTTCTTTAAATGTCTGTGTACGAATGCCAGCATATGCATAAGACGACATCGTGTCAATTACAATAATATAGGGGAAAATAATCTCAATTACGATGAACTCAAAAGCCACAGTGACCAGTGCCGTCAAATAAATTACCATGTGTCACAATTTGGCATCAACGCTGATCCTCATGAATAATTCATATTTCCGCATTAATAATGCATACCATCTTCCTGTTGGAATGCTGTCGAACACAGAAGGAAAGCCTATTACCAATTCCTTCCATTGACTTGATGGAGTAAGTGTAAAATTGGAATGCAGGTCTTTCAGGCCCCTTTTAGAACAGGAATGCACAGCCAGCCAGCAGGGTAATGGCAAACCCAGAGAGCCTCACTATTTGCTCCTGGGTAAATACTCCAGAAACGACTGCTTTGCTGGGGAGAACGTTTGCAAAGTAGACCAGGGACTCAATGAGATGTGCATTAAGCTGACTGAGATTGGCTAGCTCTGTTACATTTTGTTTTATTTTTACGGTCACACACACGTGCTAAGCCATTGTAACCTGTCTGGTTGGAGGTGGGGAGGGGGGAGCAAAAAATAAAAATAAAAAAGCAAGCAAGCAAGCAAGAAAATAAAAAGACCAAACAAATCCAGCAAGAGTTTTTATGATAGGATGGAAGATTATGTTTTCCTCCCACCAGACATTCCTTCCTGGTTCGATTTACGATGGTGACACTTTTTTTTATCCATTTTCAGTTAAAAAAAAAAATTATCTGGCACGTAAGAAGCAAAGTCCAAAGGCTAAACAGAAGAAAGCTGCCCAGGGCACGTATGGGCAGGAGAGATGCTCAGTATCCTGGGCTCCGCGGCGGGGGGGGGGGGGGGGGGGGGGGGAGGGAATTCTACCTCATCAATGACACCATTATTTCAGACTTTGCTAAGCAAACTTTCCCAGCCCCACCGCCATCCCTCACCATCTCACCCCAAAGCAAACCATCCATCAGAACCACACGTGAGGCCAGGAGAGATGCGGCCCGTCTGCGAGGGAAGGCAGAAAGTGTCCCCGGCCTCCCCTCCCCCGACCCCCTCCCCCGGGCTGGAGAATGCCTTGGGCCTCACTTCAGCCCGGGAGGGGCGCTGAGCGCTGCGGTCCTCGGGGTCCCCTCCGTCCAGTGCAAGGAAGGTGAGCCACTCGGTGTCCACATCGGTCCCTGGGGCCCCTGAGCTTCCCGCGCGCATCCGCTCATCCATCGCTCATCCACCGCTCATTCATTCGCTCGTTCATTCTTTCATTCACGTAGCTCACACGGGAGACGCACTCTCCGGACGCCGGGTGCCGTGTTCCACACTGGACGAGCTCCCGGGTGGACTCGGGTGTGGATGACGGAAACCCATCACCCCGGGATGGAGGCGGAGGCAGCCACCCAGAGGCCGGGCCACCCAGAGGCCGCTGCCCGCCCGCCCCTGGGACGGAGCCCAGTGCCCGGAACCCGAGGAGACCTTTCCGCTGGCAGAAGCTTCTTCCTGGGGTCTGGTGCCCGGCGGGGCCGCCATGCAACCCCTGGAAAAGTGAAGTGGGCGGCGGGGGGACCTGGGGAACCGGCCCCGCGCCCTAGACCCCGCGCCCCAGCCTCCTGCGCCCTGGCCCCCCGCGCCCCGGCCCCCCGCGCCCCAGCCCCCCGCGCTCCACACCCCGCGCCCCGGCTCCGCGCCCCGAGCCACCGGGAAATAGTCCCTCCGAGTGGATGGGGGCTAGTGGCCCCCCCCCGGGAAGCCCGGTCCCCAGGAGATGGAGACGGGCGCGGGGCTCCCCGCCGGGGGCTCCTGGGGACTGGGACCAGGGGCCGCGGGCACCCCGGGGACCTCGCCTCCCTCCCGGGGCTCCGGCTCGGTACTCACCCCCAGCCGCCGGCTCCGGATCCTCACGTACCCCTGCTTCACGATGTCGTTGAAATTGGAGGCCATCCCGGACGGCCGCGACCCCGGCCCGAGCGCGCGCCCTGCGGCCCGGGGAGCGGAGGCTGCGGGCGGGCTCCGGGGGCGCCGGGGCGCGCGGGGCTGCGAGGGGGAGGGTGGGGAGGGAGAAAGTGGCGGCGGCGGCGCGGCGCGGGGCTCGGCTCCCACACCCGCTACGGGGCGCGCATCCCTTCCCCGGCACCCCCCGAACCCCGAAAGTGGGCGGCCGGCGGCGCGCAGCCACTTTGGGGCAGCGAGGCTGGGGCGCCGCCGCCGTCAGCTGACTCCACGCCCGGCGGCCGGGAGGAGGCGCGGCCTCCGGCGACTGAGGAGGGGGGACGGGAGGAGGAGACGGGGAGGGAGGCGGAGGAGGGACGGGAGGGGCCCGGGAGGAGGGGCCAAGGGGGATCTGGCACCGCCCATTCCTCCCCCCACTCGGGTGAGCAGACAGCCGAGGGCGGGCGGATGGGCTCCCTCCCCTCCCTGAACCCCGCCCCGCTTCCTCTTCCCACCGCGTCCGGAGCCCCCAACCCCTACATCTCACTGACCCGTGGCTTACTTGGGGGAAATTCACTCTTTTCCAGCCCCCCACTTCTCTAACCCCTTCCCCAGAATGCGAATGTGGGGCGCATGTCCCCAGAAGCAGGGGTGTCGTGCTTTGCTCTGACCTTGGCATGGGGGGGGGGGGGGGCCGGGCACGGCCGGAACCGGACCTTGCTGGGTTTCCCTGGCACCCAGGCCTCTTCCCTATCAAGTTTCCCACAGGCGAGCCCGGTGAACCCCTGAGAGGAATGGAGATGGGCACCAGGCGCCAGACTGCACCCTGACCCTCTGGCACCAGTAAACTCCCCGCCCCGGGGAGCTCCTCTGTGCACACCCCCAGCCCCTGCTTCCACCCCATAGCCTGGCGCCTGAGCTCAGAGCCACCCCCCCCCCCCATCCTAGAAACATGCCTCTGATGCGAAGATGGAAAGGAATGAGACTGGGTGATCACCAGCTCCCGTGCCCTTCCTGAAGCACACATTTCACAGGGCACAGGGGCTGGGCATTGCTGTGGGTAAACTGAGTCAAGGTCTAGCGTCCAGGTCCTGCAGGAAGTACAGCTCCGAAGAGTGAAGACCTTGAGAACTAACTGTCCACCATCTCCCGTCTGACCACGCCAGAACCCTGAAGGGGTGTGTGTGTGTGTGTGCATGTGCACGCGCGTGTGTTCATGTGCATGCGCGTGCGTGTGTGTGCCAGCTCTGCTCCCGTACACTGCCCTAGGCCTCTTGTGGAAGAGCCAGTGTCAGAAGGGAATGGTTACTCGTTTGTCTCCAAGGAAGATCTGATCTTTTGTGATGTCCCCAGAAGCAAAGAGGATTCAGAAGGTAGACCCTGCGTGGTCCGCAGCGACCTTTGTTCCAGGCTAGAGAGAAGATTTGTCTCCGTAGTGGATTGCCTGTGACACTCTAGAAAGCCTGCCAACAACAAGATGATCTGAGTTTTGCCTTTCTCAATGGGAATATTCATTTTAGTCACTCTGGTTTGACGGTTGTTAGTCAAAAAAGAAAAGCACCCAAGAATGTGTCATAGGAGAACCGAGACTAAATTGAGACGCTCAGAAAGCAAACATCTGAACAGAACTTGCTCTGCTGTATTGTAAACCACCTGCTCTGTCTTTGTGGTGCTCTCCTAGGAGATGATACTGTAAATTTAATTTTTTCACCCCGGAGAAGAGGAAATGGCAAAGCCATTTGGCGAGTTCTTCTTAGAGGGTTAAAATTTTTAAAAATTAAACAAAGTTCCATCTCAGTTATCATCTATCCAATTATTTGCACACCAGATCTACAGAATTATAGAAACAAAGAATGAAGAAAAGAAGTCATCGAGAACATGAAGGCACAATAACAGAAACAGGAACAACTTCCATAGGTAATTAAACACAACAACTTCCATAGGTAATTAAACTAGATGTGAGAAAAATAGAATAGAAAGTATAAAACTGACTTCAAACTAACATATTTTTTGTTTTTCCATTGCAAGAGTGAATCCAGTATATGGTGTTTTTGGTTTAGTAAGTTCAAACCAATATGGAAAATGTGCAACTGCATGCTATTCGCAGGACGGCCACTTACACTTCTCCAAATTATGTAGTGCACAATGGAACAACCAAGCTTAAGTGCACAAGCTATAGAATACACTACTGTGAGAGACGTGGAGTCCCGTGCAAATTAGCCTTTCTGGAAATAAATCTGAAACAATTTTTTAAAATCATTTCCTAGTTTACTTCAACGTAGATCATTTAGGATGTCTTGTATACCTTTCTGCTTGTTTCTTCAGCTTCCGGGTGACTGTCCAGAACACATAGACCAATCAGAAGCAAGCGCTAAAGGGAAGCAGACCAAATCCTTATGACCCTGTCTGCTACCCCTTCATCCAGGGCCCCAGGGATATGGCGTTGTTAGAGCAGAAGTGAAGCTTCCATGACAGATCCCATAATGCAGGGACTCAAGTTACCCCAAAACTTACTTATTTCGTATGTGACAAAGCAGGCTGGGAAACTCATCCTGGACAGCTAAGAAGCTCAGACCCCAGAAACCAGGTTCTGGGATCAACCCCAGCTCCTCAGGACACAGCTGCCCTCCCCCAAGCAAGTTGCTGCCCTCCCTCCAGAGAGTGGGAAGAGGACTTGGAGGGAAAGCAGCCTTGTGAGGAACTGGATCCAGTCATCTCTCCTACATCCCACAGGCTCATATTTTTGCCACACCTACCTCCAAGGAGCCCAGAGAAGGTAGTCTCTTCTGATAGCTAGTTGTGTGTTATCATGACAAATGCAATGTAAAGGTAGGAATGATTTATTTGGGCTCATTTCAGAGGTTTCAATCCGTGGCCTGTTGGATTCATTCTTTCTGTGCTGGGCCGAGGTAGAGTGTCATGGTGGGAAGGTACATACATCAAGGTAAAGCTGCTCATCTCCTGCTGCTCACAGGAAGCAGAGACAGACAGAAAAGAGGGGGCCCAAACCAAGATACAGCCTCCAAGAACACCTGCTTTCTCCAGAGAGGCCTCATTTCTGAAAATTTCCTCCATCCCCCACCATTGCCATAAACCTATGAATCCATCAGTGGGTTAACCCACAAATGAGGAGGTCCAACAACCATCTCTCAGCAATGGAGTCCACCTGCGGTGGGCCAAGCCTTCAATACAGGAGCCTTTTAGGAAATAGTTCATCCCCAACACGTTGAGGGCAGGGTTTCATCTTTGCAGGATCATGAACTGACAAGGGTCTCAGGTGAGGTAACCTTTCTACTATACCACTGCCACCCATGCCTGCTTAATTACTCCAAGGACTTTGCTTCTCCTTTTAAACCACCCTTGCCTGTGTGGTTTAGTCACCAAAATACTGACAGAGTCCCGTCTGTGGACTGCGACCGGAAGCTCCAAAAGTCCCAACTAGACTTGACCCAAGAAAACTCCAAAAAACGTCTGTGGCGGAGCCCCGCCGAGCTACAATGATGCTGAACTCAGAGCTGCCGCGAGGGCTTCCCACGGCCTCCAGCCACTTGTTGCTTGGTGTTGTGTTATGTGGGCCTGTTAATTGGGAGTTATAGAAGATACACTCCCCAGCACTGGAACTGGGGGGTATAAGTGAGAGAACGGGGCATGAAATTTAAGGAAGCTGTCCCTGTCAGGGCTGTGTGAATGCCAAAGAAGGTCCATGTGTGTGATCCTGAGAATGCGTGCTTCCTTAAATCATGCACTTGCCTCGTGCCAGCCCTGTGCCTGATGCTGGCCTTCTTAGAGAATCTGGAGAGTGGGCTCATCTCCTTTATGAGGTTCTCATTGGTGGGATACCAAATTAGGTTGTGCACTAAAATAGAGCCCCTTCACCGAAGCACAGCAGAGCCTTAAATGAACACAAGCGTAAGTTGGTCTACCACATTCAAGGTAGGAACTCACTCTAGATCAAATGTATAAGCACCTCTTTCCCTGCCCTCTGCATTCCAGGAAGTCACTATCACCAACAGTATTTTATTACTCTTGAACGGCTCGGGATGAGAAATGGTGTGTAGCATTCCAGAGGCTTTGGCATTTCTTCCAGGGTGATTGGGCTCCCCAAGCACTGTCAGAGGAGTGTTGTCTTGTCACCAAGTGCCACAGAGCACCTAAGACAGAGGCTGACGTGGCACCTCTCCAGTATCCTTACCAAAAATAACTTGGACGTTCCCCCAGGCCAGCTCTTCTCACAGGAGCAGATGCAGCCCTTCCTTTGGCAAGCTATGGGATGTGATTGGACTATCCCCAAGGAGGGGGTGGGTGCTCTGCACTGAGTCTTCCCCTGGGGCAAGCTCTTACCCTGGTAAACACCGAGTAGCACAGATCAGGTGTGACAACGAGAACGCTGCTTCTCTGGTTCACTTCTCTGGTCCACCCCTTCCTCCGTGTTTCCAAGTCCATGCCGTGGTCATGGATTATCCAGAGCATGCTTTCACCCCCACCCAGATACATGAGGTTTCATTCCCGCACAAAACGTAGATAGAGCAGTAGATGAGAGAGGAAAAAATAAGTAAATAAGCAATAGGTTACAGATGGTTATGTAAAGGAAAGTTGCATTGCACTGTGTGGTAGCAAGGAGCTGCTTGAGCTGCGAGAGGGGTGAGCAAGATGTCCGGTAGGAGGTCACCTCTCAGCTAACATAGGAAAGAAAGATGAGACGCAGCTATGGGAACTGTCTGGGCAGGCACATTCCAGCAAGAGAGGTTCTAGCTCCAGACAGAGGGCGTCCAACGGCTCCAATGCAGGGCAGAGCAGAGCGGGGCAAGTTCAAGGAGCTGTTGGCAGGCTGGGTACCATTGAGCTCACAGAGGCTGAGTGACTGTGACTGCAGCCTCATCCTGCAGGCCGCAGCTAGGACATGTGCAAAGGCAGGAAATCTTCATGTATTCTTTTATTAAAAGAAAGGAGATAATGAAGGGACATCTGTATAGATAGACATATACATGTGTGTAATACATATGTACATCAATATGTATATACATAGATACATGCAAAAGTATATGTGTCTATATACATA